ATTCTTTACAACTTCTGCAATGCATTACTTCACCGTTGGAAATAGTCCTTCAAATACCACGGTCATCTTCCTCATTCTTTTCCTAAGAAGCTGAGTTTATCAGCATGCCATTAGATGCTAAAGCCATAAAAACTACTTCCTAACACCTAAGTATAACATGTACAAGCTTTTCATCACATTTGCATTTGTAATAATGCTAGTTTTTTAAATAAGCGTTTCATCACATTTGCATTTGTAATAATGCTAATTTTTTAAATAAGCGAAGGTGTTTAATTTATTTAACTTTCGTGATCAGCACTGTGGTCTAGATAGAAAGTGACATTTAGAAAATTTTGACTCCCTTAACTTCTATTTCATTACCAGCAGCTGAAAAGTAGTTTGCTGGGTTAATTGGCTTATAAATATACTATATGCAAAAATGTTTTGTACCACAAAAAACACACATACTGAACTAGTTCCTTTTTTCTCAAAATGCAAGGAGGAAAGATTTCTGAATAGTCTTTGATGCTTTGTCTTGCATTATCTGGGAAAAATTACTTGCTGGTGTTACAGGAAGTGTGTTGCATTCACATAAGTTCTTTATTTTCTCAGCATATGTTCTGTGTCCTTGCCAGCTCATTTATGTGTAGTAAAACTCAATATTTTGAAAACAAACATTTTTTCTAAAAGCTGTATACTATGGAAACAATAAACAATGTTTTTGCATTTATAAATATTCTCACTGGGTGAGTCCCAAGTCATAAAGAGTATAATTGTGTAAAAGTGGTTGAACAGATTACCACACAAATTGGAGTAGGGAGCACCAAGATACCTAGCAGTCTGATCTTCTAATACAGGTAGTCCTCGACTTATGACTACAATTGAGCCCAAAATTTCTGTTGTTAAGTGAGCCATTTGTTAAGTGAATGTTGCCCCATTTTATGACCCTTCTTGCCACAGTTATTAAATGAATCACTACAGCTGATAAGATAGTAACCTGGTTGTTAAGTGAACCTGGCTTCCCCATTGACTTTGCCTTCTATTTAATGAGCATATTCTTTTCTATCATACAATACACTCAGATTGGTTAAGCCAGTGGTTCTCAACCTTTTTAATGCCGCGACCCCCAACCGGTTGTAAGTCGAGGACTACTCAACTGGTGCAGCACCGTTTGCAGAATGGGACTTTTGGCGGGCTCAGCAGGGCAGAGACAGCCTGGACAATTCCTATTGGCTTTTGAAAGCCAATAGAATTAGACTCTATTCAAGAGAGTCTATTCTATTGGCTTTCAAAAGCCAATAGAATAAAAGGGAGTAGCACAGCTAAGGAAAAGGGGAAAAAAAATACGGACTGCGTTGTTTGGCGACCCCCGTGAAATGGTCGTTCGACCCAAATGGGGTCGCGGCATTAAAAAGGTTGAGAACCACTGGGTTAAGCCAATTCCTTTTAGAGTATATGTTCATTGTATATAATATTAATATGTTCATTGTATATAGTAATATTAATTTTGTTCTAAATTTAAGTCAGATGACAACTTTAGACTTCAGGAATTCAATAGTGCAAATTGTACTCATGCATTATGAGTTTTTGGAGAATTGATGCTACAGTTGTAAAATAGTTTATAGTTTATTAATATAGTTTTGTATTTACCAGATGATAATTTGTTTTTAGAACAGCTTCCTCTTTGATTTCACTTTGTTTTTAAGTTCTTACAAGTCAGATAGCATCCAGAAAGATGTAGACTTAAGCAATATGTAATATCCAGTAAGCATGATTCAGTTGAAACAAGGGCAGACTGATAATCTGGGGCCACATGTCCACCTTCAGCCTCTTGTTTAAGGAAGTTAACCTTGAGTCCTTATTGTTCGTTGGCATCAGTATGTTAACAATAAAATTGGTTTCCAGATTCAGTCATAACATATGCAGAAATACTGTAATACACACTCAGGCATTCCAGTGAAACAAGAGTCATTAGCAGAAGTTTCTCTAATGTGGCTTATGTGTGGGTGATAAATACCATGAGAAATATCCTGTTAATCTCTCTTTGCCTCTGGTAAAGTTGTTGCAATATAACAAGTATTATGGTGCTTTGAATTCATTCCTAATATTAGTCAAAATCCCATTTCCTAAGAATAGATTCCAAAATCCCCAGATTTATTAATAGTAGAAAGTCAAATTCAGAAAAGAAAGGTATGGTTTTCAGTTTATTTTCCTTTCTAGGTAATGTTGATTTTAATGTGCAGTACTGCATAGTTGTTTTCTACTTTGATTTGAAATAGACTATAATAGTTTTTTTTAATGCCATTTCAAAGGTGTATCTAAGAGCCAGAATGGCTAAATATTTGGCATACTTGTATGTTCTTTTAAATACTTCAGTTTCTCTGAGTGTAATCGGGCAGAAATAGTTTCTTTACAAGAAGAAAATCAATAGCATTTTTGTATTTAAATTTTCACAAATAACCGTGGGTACCTCAAGGCTGCTATTTTCTTAAAAAAAGAGTTGTAACACTACTTCATGCCAGATGGTGGATGATTCTTGAATCCCAGAGAAGCTTAAAAATATTATAGTTCTTTGTTTCATAGGAAAGAACATTGAGATGGTGTTTTGGAATCAGATATAACTAGGCTAATTTCTGAAAACTGATAGGATCTATACCCCGCCCCCAGACACGCACTCTAAAGTAGCAGTTATTTTGTAATTCCAGTTATAATGTAGGTTAATGATAATACTATGAATTGTCCTAAATGCAAGTCCATTATCAATGTATATGAATCAGAGGATTGATGGCTTCGGAGGAAATAGGGAAGGCACTAGTATGACTTATTGAAAGAAAAATATTGATTATGTTATATAAATGTAAGTGCACAAATAATGTGATTTTGTTTCTTGTAAACCAGTAAATGTAGATACGATTCCATTAATTCTAATTGTGGTAGAACTAGAAGTTGAATAACTTGTTTATCAATATGTTTAATAGGCCATTTGAAAAGTTACTTTTTACATATAAACAATGACTTTTTTAAATACCCTAAGTTTATTACAATAATCTACTCTAGATTAATATTGGTTAAACCTCAATAGGACATTGCTATTTTGCTGTCTTTTGATTGCGTGTTCGAAGATTTCATTAGGGAAGTAATTTACAAAGTTCTCTTTTTAAGCTCAGGATAATGGCAACTTTCCCTCCAGATTACTGTAATTCAGTATTGCCAAAGAAATGCCCAGTCCCCACAAACTGTTGAAAAACAGAGTAGCTAGGAATTCTTGTACACACTGAGTCAGATCCCCATTGTATGAATAGGCAATGACAAAGCGGTGGGCTTTCTGGGAAATGCAGTGGCAAATCATTTTTGGTTTTGTTTTTTCTTTTTTTGTGTGTTTTTTTGCAGGAGGATAAGGGGGAAGGATGCATGCAAACCTTGTAAAGATTTAACATTTTTCTGTGAAACAAGTGAAATCATCTTCCTGGCACCTGTGGTCAATTTGCACTTTGGACTGAGAGTTCCTCATAATTAAGAGTTCCTCCTACAATGCTGTTCTGTTTAAGCAGTTGAGGGCTTTGTAGTGAGATGGGGAATGGGGCAAACCACGGCCACGGAGCAGTGTGAGACCAGGATGACAAGTGAAGCTATGGTTTCTGTGTTAGAAATACTTTGATGATATATAGTAATGTAAAAATGACTTGGGGAGAAATTTATTTCCTTTAAGGTCATTTGATTTTTTTCCATGTTATAATAGAAAAATATTAGTCAAGCCTGTAAAAATGCTAAAGGTTAGAAACTGGCTATCTACAGTTAGATTTGCCTCTTCAAGGTTCACTGGTAGTTTATTAAATTTTTACACAGATGTTCACATAAAGAAAAACTTGAAATACATGATAATGGGTTAAAATAATAATTAAATATAAAACATAATTTGGTAATTTAGAAATTATATGCATTTAATATTAAGAATCCAAATTTGCACACTGAAATTTGCAGCTCTTGATTAGTTTTGTACATCATCCCAAGCCATTAAGATTAATTTGGTTTAGCTTTGAAATGTCTTGAGAATCTAACCATTAAAGTTCAATCAAGCTAGCCAACTATGGTTTAGCATGTGAGAACATAGTGATTTAATCCTCCAACAAGAGTAGGTTGTGCAACAAGGAATGTGAATGGGGCACTGGTCTATAATTCTGTAAGGTTGATGCATCTTTTCCTGGGATCACAAAATACTTGAAGAGCACAGTTGCATAGTCCTGGGAAAAGGTGTGGCTGCTTTAAAAGCCTGCAGAGAGGTAATGTATTTGTATTCCTGCACATTCCAAATTACGTGTTTGGAACTGAATCTAATCTGTGGGTTTGTGGTGCTTTTCTATTTAAACAATATAGCCCTGTCACATGTGGCAAATCAGAAAAGATTGCATACTCTTATTCAGAATCACTTTTATTCTAGAAAGACATCTGAAGTCAATGAAGGGAATTGGCTGAGAGCAGTCTACTCATTTAGGAATGAATTTCAAAAGCTAATGGAACATTTTTTATTAATTTGATTGATTTGACTTTTATCCTATTTTTATTCAGGTCAGTCTGATATATATATAAGTGTATGTGTATGTATACACATAACTATATATCTAATGCCCTCTCTTCCTATTTCCCCCATAACATCAACTCTGAGCTGGTTGGACTGTGAGAGAGGATGACTAAAGTCACCCAGCCGGCTTCTATGCCTATGGAGGGGGACTAGAATTCATAGTCCCCCAGTTTCTAGTCTAGCATCTTAACTAAACTGGCTATTTTAATAATTTTGATACGGTTTTGTGTTGCTTTTTCATTTTGCAAGGTGCCAATTTTATTTATTTATTTTAACCATTTTGATGGGAAATTGCTAAATATGTAATTACTTAGTTCTCACCTGTAATATAGGTGAAAGATGGACCTGTAATGCTTAGGACTTTATATCTCCTTCCTCATATATCTATAGGCTTTAAGGGAAAACCATATATGTTGCTAAGCTAATCTCTTTTTCATATTAGGTCATCATGGCTGCTGTTGGCTCCATTACTCACTTCTGCGGTTCCACAACTGACTCTTCCCACCAATTGCCTTAGCCCTGAGGGAACACATATTTTTCAATGGATCAGAAACTTGGTTCCAGAATTTGGTATTGCTGGCTCCCACATCAAGGTGCTTTCATCTCCAGCTGAATTCTATGAACTTATGAAGGTGATCTCAATATTTTTCTCTTGCATATTTTGTCACAGATTTTGTTTATACTACATGACAGGAGAATTCAATGGTTCTATTGTGTTCTAAAAAGTCTTTTCAGACTTATAGGTTAAAGTAATTTTATCTTACCATTCCTTGGTGAATTACTTACTATATTCAACTCTAACACTGAAGAAGAAAAAATCCTTTTGTCAATTAGCGTAAGTTTCTGTGAATATAGTGAGACATGAAAAGCTACAGTCCTGTAATCTCAGTGTTATGCTTGTTTTAATGTGTCAGGTTCAACCCCTGACACCTCCACATAGAAAAATCAGGTAACTGGGCAGAGAAAGACCCTTGCTTAAAAGTATTGGACTACATCTGCCAGCAATATGGGTGTTGCTAACTTCATTCATTCATTCATTCATTCATTCATTCATTCAATCAATGTTTTCATTAAGTTTCAGCATAAAATGTAAAAAGCAGCAACAAAAAAATCCAAAATTAAATGTTCATTCCCCCCCCCCCCAGTTTCTAGCAAGAAGTTTATAAAGGTGGGATGTTTAAAGTAATTTTTAAAATGTGAGTGATTGTATTTAATTCGGTACATTAATGACTTTCAAACCTCCTTTGGGGGATAATATTAGAACAGAAAAATGTCAGTTTGTATATAATTAAAAATGATGAAAGAGCATCACCTCTCCAGTATTAGCAGTCTTACCTCTCTCTTGACCTTCTGGTTGACAAGAGAGAGAGAGAGACTCACTTGCAACCAAGAAACTTGTTCTCAGTCCAGTTATGAGCAAAAATGTTTTAATAGTTTTCCTGGTAAATTTCAGCTTTATTGATTCTTCTAAAATTAAGTGCTGTATTGGGTGTCCTGTAGGAGATGCCAGTAGTCCTTGACTTACAACCATTCTTTTGGTGACCGTTTGAAGTTACAACGGACTGAAAAAAGTGACTTATGACAGTTTTTCACACTTATGGCTATTGCCGTATCCAGATGGTCACGTGATCAAAATTTATTTATGACGGATGCGGTGTCCTGGGGTCAGGTGATCTTCTTTTGCGACCTTCTGACAAACAATTCCTGCTCCAAAGATCCTGTTCCAAGATAACAGAAAAGCCAGATTCACTTAACCATGTTACTAACGTAACAAGAGCAGTGATTCCCTCAACAACTGTGACAAGAAGAGTCGTAAAATGGGACAAACTCACCTAACAACTGCCTTGCTTAGCGCCGGAAATTTTGGGCACAATTGTCATAAGTCAAAAACTATCTGTACTTGGATGCTTCCTTTGATAGACTCATTAGCACATCTAAATGTTTTTTCTCTTGCAGGGACAGGCAAAGATGGCTAAGCAACGAATTGTTTTAGCTTCCCTGTATCTTGGAACAGGATCTTTGGAACAGGAATTAGTAAGTATCTAAAATGGGAAGGAGGGATTGGAGCCTTTTTACTAAATAGCTAGATAAGAGATGCCTTAGATTTAGTTGTTTTTTTTTTTGTTGGAGGGTTAGGAGCTCTTGCTTCAGACCTCTTAATCCAGAGAGTCACTCTTGTATTTTTGTACGTGAGTTGTTAATATATCTGTGATAGGAGAAACAAACTTAGAATTAGGAAAACACTGATGCTTCCCGCTTGGCAAGTCGAAGTTCTGTGTAAATCTGACATTTGTTTTAATTTATGGACACTTCACTTCCCAACACTTAGTATACTTGAAAGAAAGGAAGGCTGTCCTGTGCATTTGTGTATGTTTTCTTCTTGTAGGTGGATTGTATTGAAATAGCTTTGGAAAGCTCATTGAAGGAATGTGGGAGTCCCAATTTTAGAGTGTCCATCCTGTTAGACTTCACAAGAGGATCCCGAGGTGGGTATTCATTGACCAACTCTTTTCACTTAGCTGGGATAGACTGATATGGTTGGGAATCTCTGATATAAGAACTGGGTTTAAATAATTCTGCAGATCAAAGAATTTGGACCTTTGTCTGAAATCAGTGCTGAAAAACTAATTTCAGTTCTTCTGTAGATTTCAAGCCCTTTCTGTCTTTGTATCTCTGTAGTTTTATTTTGCAAACACAAACCATAAAAATCAGAGATTTAAAATTTAAAACCCAAGCAAGATATTCCTGGTACTTTTTTTTATTTTTGACACATTAAAAAGTAAGTCTTGCCTTTTCAAGTCTTCCTATTTTGTTGTGTAGAATAATGTTAATTTTCTCGATCTCTGCATCCTGTTAAGGAGTCTGTATCTGCCAAATTAAGTGTTTTGGAGCATTCCCCAGCTGAGCTAAATTGATAGGAACCTTATCTCTTCCCACTTAGGTATTATTAGCCTGCTGGTTTTCCTCAGCTCTTGTTTTACTGCTTGATATAATCAGGAATATTTTCTATGTTGTTGAGTTGCTTTTTCTTTGTTTCTAATACAAAAAAAACAACAACAAAAAACATATTCAGAACATGTCAAAATCCATGGATTTTCTTTTCAGTGATGTTTTTATTTGCTCCTTTGAAACCTTCCTTTAGTTTTAATTGTTTTCGTGGCCATCCACTGAGTCCATCTGGGCAACAGATCTGATACTCTCCATTTTCAGAGGTACTGCACTGTTTCTTTCTCTCATTATTTTGCCTTTGGTTCCACTATGCATTCTATTTTCTTGGACTTGAAAATACCCCCAACTTGTCTTAATAGTTCTTTATTCATATTGCATCCACTTTAGACCATGTGCCATTACAACAGCCTCAGTGCCTCTTCTTTTACTAGCTAATTCTTATATTTCATATTGAGGTTCAGATTCAGATCTGACTCCTTCTTATTGGTGCATCTTCCTCACCAGACCAGTTAGAGATCAGTGCCCTTTCTCCCCCCCCCCCTCCAAAAAGTCTTCCCTTGTCTAGAACAGCTACTGTGAATGACTTCTGATCTTGGCCTCACAGCTACACAACTACCAATCTTGCTGATGACCAATTCTTTGATTTTGTTCTAAGAAATATCTCTACTCCTCTTGCATGACTTGCTGCTGATATTTCCTAAGAATAAAAGTAAGTTCGTGTCTTGAGCAGTTCCCAGAAGACCAGAAGTGCGTGACTCAGGTTTTCCATGCAGAAATCTGTAGTGTGTCAAAGCAACAGTTCAGTGAATGACATTGTGTTGCTGACTGCTTCCAAAAGTATAGACTAGTTATAGATAGTAATGAAAGTGTCCTGGATAGAAAAATGCAGGTATTTTGCTGTTATGTGAAATATACTATAAAGGAGGAGTCAGAACTTGCAGCTGAAGGCAGAGAGTTGCCTCTGTAAAATAAAGACATGCTTTAAGGCCTGGCCTTAGGAGGAGGTGAAGTTAATATCTTCCTATTAGGTCCATCTTTGGGAGATAAGAAAAATGCTTAATCATAATCTTAACTACTATTCTTGATTACTAGAGATGGAAATGAGCCAAAGCATATATGCCTAGGCCAGGGGTAGGCAACCTCGGCTCTTTTATGATTTGTGGACTTCAACTCCCAGAATTCTTGAGTCAGCATAGCTGACTCAGGAATTCTGGGAGTTGAAGTCCGCGAGTCATAAAAGAGCCGAGGTTGCCTACCCCTGGCTTAGTGCAATCATTGTCCACTTAATTCTCTTGTTGTTAATCCAAAGTAACTAGACGTGACACAAAATGTCTTCTAACATGTGTTTCTAGAGAGATAAATGGTGATTTTTTTTTGTCACTCTGCAGCTGATGAACAACCTATTTAGACATTCTATACATAAAAGTTTCCAGCATCTCCTGAATGTTAAGGTTTTCTAATTCTTACAGTGGATTGGAGCAGATATTCTGTATTACTGTAATCCCATCAAATCTGTTTCTCCCCCCCCAAGGCCAGAAGAATTCTCGAACCATGCTGCTTCCACTCCTGAGGCGATTTCCAGATAAGGTCCGTGTCTCTCTCTTCCACACTCCTAATCTACGTGGTCTTCTCAGACATCTAATTCCTGAGCGTTTTAATGAGACCATCGGGTTGCAGCATATCAAAGTCTATCTCTTTGATGATAATGTGATCTTGAGTGGGTGAGTTCCTCTTTATAAGGAAATAGCATTGGGGCACATGGAAGAATTCTGTGGTTTCCAGAATCCAGAAGAAAGAAAGAAGGAAATCAATTAAATCAGATCGTATTAGGGAATCATTCTGCATATTCTGGAATCTGTGTCATAGTTCTGTTCCGCAATTTGCCATTTTTGGACTGTTTCTATGAAGTGATTCTGAATAAGCATTCTACAATTCATTTGCATTTAACCAAAGTTTAAATGGGGAAATGTATCAGGAAGGCAATGTCAATGTTCATATGTTGATTAATCTTACATGCCTTCCTTTCTATTGTTTTCTCAACTGTCAAATGTATGTGAGCTGAATATGATTTACATACTATCATTAGGCATTCTTAACTGCCACCCTATTTTCCCTCACCAGAGCCAACTTAAGTGACTCTTACTTCAGCAATCGACAAGACCGTTACGTCTTCCTGCAAGACTCACCAGAAATTGCAGATTTCTTCACTGAGCTAGTAAATGCAGTTGGGGATGTATCTTTACAGTTACAGCAAGATGACACAGTCAAAACTACAGATGGGATGGTCCATCCTTACAAAGGTAGGATGGCCATGTATCACTTTATTTTCTATATTGCCATAATTTGAGATTTTGGGGAGGTATTTAGCAAGTAATTTATTATACATACAGTTAGTCCTTGACTTGACCACAACTGAGCCCAAAATTTCTGTTGTTAAGTGAAACAGTTGTTACATGAGTAGTTAAGTGAATCGCTGCAGTTAATGTTAATAACCTGGTTGTTAAGTGAATCTGGCTTCCCCATTGACTTTGTTTGTCAGAAGGTCGCAAAAGGGAATCACATGACCCAAGGACACTGCAACCATCATAAATGCGAACCAGTTGCCAAGCATCTGAATTTTGATCACATGATCATGGGGATGCTGCAAAGGTTGTAAGTATGAAAAATGATTAAATCACTTTTTTCAGTGCCGTTGTAACTTTGAATGGTCACTACATGAACTGTTGTAAGTCAAGGACTATATATATATCTTCTATATATAAATAAAAATGTAAATGTTCGTTTGTTCAAAATCTTAAATCTCCGAAAGTTCTTCACCGATTGCTTTGAAATTTTGCCACAATGTTGCATTCGAATACATGCATGTTTTTATATACCTATATTATATAGATGTCACACCTGTGACAGGTAAAAACATGCTTTTTGTGAAAAACAGCGCCATCTGTTGGACGTAAACACCCTACAATTTCAGACAATCTCTATATCTGCACAGACAATGGAACAACAAAAAATATTGTATATCCACAAGCATTGTGAAATTAAACATATTACAAACGTGCGCTTTCTCTTTTCTTTCTTTTCCATTTAACCAGACTGAACACCAGGGAATTACTATAAAAAATTAATAAAAACACCTAGCTTTCGTCGGCGACTGCCGACATCATCAGGGCTTGAAATGCTAGTCAGTGGAAGAGTCCTTTTATAGGTTGACCAGGTTCTGCGCCCGGCTCTTAGACCTCGTCATCGGACCTGATTGACCAAGCTGTGTTCTGGTCGTATTGGTCAATCAGGTCCGATGACGATATCTAAAAGCCAGGCGCAGAACCTGGTCAACCTATAAAAGTGTGTGTGTGTGTGTACACACACACACATATTTGTTTTCTGAGGTTTTCGCGGGTGATTGTATGTAGGTCTTTGGTTATTCGGGTTTTCTCCCGCGTCAAATTGGATGTGTCTTGGCGACATTACGACGAAGTCTCATTCGTCATCTTCAGGCTAGTGTTTTCGGCTTCGTGCTTCTAGGAGCAATGTGTGATCGTAGCTGTTTCTTTCTTTTAACTTCCAGTGGGGGTATGAACTGATTGGATGAGAGCTTGGCTGTGTTCTGATTGGATGGAGGTGTGTTCTGATTGGTTAGGAGCTTGGCTATGCTCTGATTGGATGGGGTTTGGCTGTGCTCTGATTGGTTGGGGGAGTGTTCTGTTTCTGTATTAGCTTCTGTTTCCATGGTGAACTGTATTTTGGGGTGTAGGCTGTTGAGGTGTGTGAGGAAGTTGATAATCTGGCCACATGGGAAAGAAAAACTGGACAACTTCCTCACGCATCTCAACAGCCTACACCCCAAAATACAGTTCACCATGGAAACAGAAGCTAATAACCAACTTCCCTTCTTGGATGTCTTAGTCTACAAGAAATCCAATGGCTCCCTAGGTCACACGATCTACCAGAAGAAAACACACACAAACCACTATCTGCATGCTCTCTCACACCACCACCCAGCACAGATCAACTCCGTAGCCAAGACACTTATCTCTAGAACAAAACGCTTAGCTGATGAACAACACCTAAAAACCGAACTACACACACTCTCACTAATGTACTAACATCCAATGGATTCCAAAGAAATAAGATTACCAAACTAATCCAAAAAGAAACCCCCACTAAAATCCAAGACAGAGAAGAAGAAAACGGCAAAGCCCTCCTCCCATACATAAAAGGCACCACAGACAGAATCAGCAAGATCCTCAACAAACACAACATCAAGACAGCATTCTGCACAAACAGAAAAATATCTACCATCCTAAGAAACCCCAAAGACAAAATTGAGTTAGAAAATCAAGGAGTTTATGAAATCCCATGCACCGCTTGTCCCACCACATACATTGGACAAACCAACAGAAGAATAAGTGCACGCATTGAAGAACATAAGAACTCAGTCAAAAAAGAGGAAACAACTTCTTCCCTGGTCCAACACCTTAAAGCCACAGGACATGAAATTGACTTTAAAAAGACCAGAACTATTGCCAAAACTGAACACTTTAATAACAGAATAATCAGAGAAGCCATCGAGATAGAAAAAACGCCCACACAGCATGAATAAACGAGATGATACCTCCTGCCTACCAGCCATTTGGAAACGCACCCTTATCGACAAACGAGTCCCTAACACAAAGAATGACACCAGACCCACACTCACGAAAACCACACAGAATGTCACCACCACACATCCACGCAAAAAGCAAACCCAAACCCAAACCCATACCGATGGTGAAGCATGACCACAAACCAGAAGCCAGACCACAGCTGCATCATTAGCCACTTTAAACCACTCCAATCCATACATGAAGCAAACTGAAGATGAAGGCATGAGGCACGACCACGAACGCGAAGCCAAACAATAGCAATGCAGCTCACCATCTCACATCCCCCTGCAACTCAGACTAACCTGAGCACAACAAAGCCTCCACCCAAATAGAACACTCCCCCAACCAATCAGAGCACAGCCAACCCCCCATCCAATCAGAGCACAGCCAAGCTCCTAACCAATCAGAATACACCTCCCTCCAATCAGAACACAGCCAAGCTCTCATCCAATCAGTTCATACCCCCACTGGCAGTTAAAAGGAAGAAACAGCTATGATCACACACTGCTCCTAGAAGCATGAAGCCGAAAACACCAGCCTGAAGATGATGAATGAGACGAATGAGACTTCATCAAAACTTCCAATTTGACGCGGGAGAAAACCCGAATAACCAAAGACCTACATATGTGTGTATGTGTGTGTGTTTATGTGTATATATGTGTTTGTGTGTATATGTGTGTGTGTGTGTAGTGTGTGTTTGTATACTTGTACCTTTCCAGAATTCAGTTGCGTTTTCTTGCTCCTAACTCAGCGGTTCTCAACCTGTGGGTCACGACCCCATTTGGGGTCGAACGACCATTTCACGGGGGTTGCCAAACAACGTGATCTGCCATTTTTTCCACCATTTTTTTCCTCGGCTGGCGGCGCAGGGGGCGGCACCGCGCATGCGCGCCGCATAGGGGGCGGCGCCACGCATGCGCGCTGCGTGCTTATGACCAGGGTCGCCGGTATAAAAAGGTTGAGAACCAGTGTCCTAACTGAACTTCTCTTGGCGTACTTCCAGATGTTTAGAGGTATGCCTATAGAAGTTAGATGTTTTGAATACAAACATGGTGCTCTAAATATTTTCAAAAGGAAAATAAATACTATCTTTCTGGATAGAGAGGCTCTAGAGAGGAGGAGGATGACAATATAATATAAGTTATATTAGTTATGGTTGTAATATATTAATATAATATTTAATTGATATAATCATTATGTTTAAGTATAATTAATATAGAATATGTTTAAAAACTAGGTGTGGTATAAAACTAAAGGAATATTAATACAAAAATACAAAGTAGACACATGAAAACCTAGGCACTTTTAATTCTAAGGAAGTAGTAGAGTACCAACAGGTAGCCATTTTTCAGTAAAAAGAATGGATAAACTAGACCTTATAAAATTTAGTTAAACTATATAACTTATTAAATCAAATAAAATTAAACAATAGTCAACATAATGTCAGAAAAGCCTGTTACTGATATCAGTCCAGACTATCCTTTAATATGCATTCCAGATACCAGTATCCTGGATTCATAAGGATCTCTGAAATCAGAGCTAGGAAACCTTTGCCAGGCCCAGTAGACCATGTTGATCTTCTTTTATATTCCTAAGGATGGAATCTGAAAGCACTTTCTGTAAAGTATACACTGAAAAAATGGAGTTATGGTTCCTTTTTAATCTGCTTTTAGCTTGATCTCAGGAGAGACCTTTTTCATTGGTGGGGAAATTCTTTTGTAAGAGGGGAATGGGGATGGAAAGAGGTAGCATTTTCATTTAGCTAGTAGGAATTTCTGTGCTTACTGGGATTACAGATACAATTGCCAACTGATATACTTTAGCGTTGCAACCTTTGAGACAGGAGGAACAATGATGGAAGGAATTTATCAACAGGTGGCATTAAATTTTATGATGATGACTAAACAGGAGGAACCCTGGATGGCAGACAAGAATAAAAACCACAGTATTAAAATAAAAAAACCATTTAAAACAATGTTGAGTCCACAATAAAATTTTGCATTCATCTTTTGTAGCCAGGGGCTTTGGCTAAGGTGACATGGTTCTGTAGATTGTGAGGTTAAAGCTAAACATTCTAATGATTTCCATGCTGGTAAATAATTTGAATAACTTTGTGGTGTTTCCTGAATATGAAAAGGAGAGAACTCCAAGCCCTGTTGTATAACGTGTGCTTTAAAATGTTGCATGAATGCTCATATGGGTGGATGCTATTTGTACTCACTGACATATATATATATATTTTAATCTGGGAAATAGTCTTTCTTTGTTACAACCTGGAAAGCTAATCTTTAATACAGAGCATAAGTCACTGGGTGTCGTTTTCCCTTGGGAGATATTTTCCAAGCAATACCAATTGTTGAGAGTCCTTCCCGGCAAGCCAGTTGCTGTGATTTCTAGATCAGGTAACAAAAGCAAATACTCTGGGAGTAGGTAAAGGGGGACTGGACTGCCCTCCGATGTTTGTTATGTGGATGAGCATATCCTGAATTAGCCAAATAGGCACAGAAGAATGTACCTGACATGCATCTTAGCTGACAGCTTCTTAACTGCTATAAATTCCCATCTCACTAAAATCACTGGAGCCTTTTTTTTTTTTATTATTTGCACATAGTAAATTATGTTCATTAAATGGAAGAGGTATGTGGCATGAATGTCACTTTAGTAGTTTTTCCAGTTTGGGGTATTTGTGTAGCTTACATTTTCATTTATTGTGTGGTTTATCTATTGTGTGCTGCCCAGAGTTCCCTTTGGTGAGATGCCAAATGAGATAGAGAGATAGCAGGGTATCAGATAGGGGCCTCTTTTATTTTCACTAGCTGAAAGAAGCTGTAAATTCAATTAATAACACTAAATCACAAATCCCAGAGTCCATAAGAGTCACAAAACAGCATTTCAGCTTATCCTGTTACCGTCGCTAAGGAAGTCAAGCGTCTCTGCAAGAGATCTAAGAAGGATTGGATAAGGCTAAATTGTTTCACCCATTCCTGATAATCAAACCTTGGAAAATGAGTCATGTCAAGGCAGGAGGAAGACACATTCTTCCCAATATGCTCCATATGCCTCAGTTATTACTGCCTCTGTTTTTCTTCTTTAACCTAATTCTTTGGTAAACTAGCACCTAACAAAAATTAATTGAATACATTCACAATTCTTTATTTGAGAACCAGGTTTCATTTATCATATCATTCTTATATCCCATTGCCATTATTAATGGATACAATTTAACCAATCTAACAAGTAAAACCTGTTACAAACACTGAAAGTTTGTGTTGGTGGCTGATCTGGCTCTGTTCTGGGTCAGACTTTATCTGATAGACAAGACCATGTTTTTCCTAAAGAGCATTAGGGGGTCCTTTGGGCTTAGAGCAACTGGTAGAGGCTAAAGTCAGGGGACTTTGACCAGCTCTAGTTGTTATGCCAGTTGTCGGTCCTCCTACAGTGGGAGACCCTAGCAATATTAACTCATGCTTTGTTACTGCTTGCATGTACACTCTACACTGTTTTTGAAGATGCTCTGATTCAAAACGCAGTAGCTTGCTTGTCTTTTTGCTATTTTGTTCGCAAACTGCCTAGGTCCTTGGAAGTGCATGACTTGTAACATTTGTATAAATAGTGAATAAAATAAAATTTGAAGATGGGAATGTAAGAAGCTGCATTTACTTTCTTCATATTTTTTTATTTTCCTGTTTGCTTTATAGGAAATATATGTGTGTTGATTAGTGTGCAAAGGATCTGAAGAATGTCTTGCTTTTGTACTCTCAAAGAAAATGTTATTTCTCCTACTTTGCATCAGTTTCACCTCAATTTATTTTTGCTGGTCACAAGCTAGCTTAAATTAGTAAATAATTTGCAACTAACCACTTGTTTTCCAGAGTTTAGGATATCCATGTTAAGATGGGTGACTGACATCCTTTGCTATGTTTTACAGAAGATTATTTGAGAAAGCAGGCCTCCCAATACCATTAGTCATAGCAATAAGCTTTTAATAGCAGGAATAACGAAAATTAAATAATAAGCAGTATTATTTTTTAAAAAAGTGAGAAAGAACGAGAAACTGGTAATAGGGGTAGATTTCCAGTTTCATTAATCAGGTCCTGGTCACTAGAATCCTAATATGGGTTGGAAAGATTTATCCTTTTTTCAGTGAGAAGAGATTACTTACAGTTCTACAAGAGCATAGCAGAAAACATTGTGGGCTGTCCCAAGATACCACTAGATGCCATCGCTAGGGCCCGCTGCCTTAAAAGTGTGAGGAAAATCCTCAGGGACAACTCACATCCTGGTCAGCACTTCTTTTCTCTCCTGCCATTGGGTAGGAGATATAGAAGCATAGCCAGCTGCACCAACAGACTGAAGAACTGTTTCTACCCATGGGCTGTCAGACTCCTGAATGGGAAATAACTCCATGTATGATAGACCTGTGGGGCCGGCAGGTTGTGCAATAAGTTTACATGGTGCAATAAGATTGTGTGTTTGTTGTCATTGTGAGTTGTGATGGGGGGGTGCATGAAGGGAGGCTCAGCCAATCTCATTGTACACATGTCGTACCTTGACAATAAAGGATTTGAATTTGAGAAGTTGTTCTGTATTTCAGTTCAAACTAAAAACATGCAGTTTGCCTACCTAAGATTCTATCTTAACAGTAAATGCAGAAAAAATAGAAGGTAAGTCCTTATATTTAGGGAAAAATACATTAAATCCTTTCTTATGGCCATCAATGAAATGGTATATGGTATATATTTGGATAAAACCTCTTTTGGGAAACTTATACCTTTTCATGATTTGGATCAGTGGTTCTTAAACACTTGGTCCAATTACTTCTTTCCTGGTTTCAATGTTAATACCCCTTCCCCCAATCCCCACCCTCTGTTGTTTTACCCCAGGGTCTTGGAAGAGGTCATTCCAGCTGGACCTTTGGCTCACAAACAGGCAGTTACAAATTGCTCCATGATATGTCCAGATACCTCTTTGAGTGTAATTCCTCCTGTTCTAAGTGCCACTGTTTTAGGTTAATTTGACTTCCATAATTCCTGGCCTGCCGGAAGCAACCAGCTACTACTACTCTGATCTCTTGATAAATTTCATAAAGGTAATGTTATATTTCATTAAATCACACATTTATCTTCTTAGGAGACAAGATGGCCTATTATGAGATGGCAAATAAGAGAGTGATGGAAGTGATCAATTCTGCCAGGATCAAACAAGAACAATTGCACACTCAGACTTCCTATAGCAACAGTATGGAAGGGGAAATCTCATCCTGTGATCCAAAGGCAGTTGGTGATAGGCAATCAGAACCGGATACATGGATTTATCCACTAATACAGATGAAGCCGTTTGGGATTCGGATAGATGAGGCTGTCACGAAGACCCTCCTTATGGAAGCAGAGCAGAGTGCCAGCATATACCTCACCACAGGTTATTTTAACCTCACAAAAACATATGTAGATCTGATTCTAGGCACGCGGGCAAAATTCCAGATTCTACTAGCCTCACCAGAGGTGAATGGGTTCTTTGGAGCCAAAGGGGTGGCAGGTGCCATCCCTGCTGCCTATGTTTACATTGAACAGCAGTTCTTCAGCAAGGTGTGTGGCCTGGGTCAGGAAGAGAGAGTTCAGCTGCAGGAATATACCAGGAGTGGATGGACTTTCCATGCCAAAGGTGAGACATTCTAGGTAAAGGACTTTCGCTTACGCTTTGTAGTGGCTGAACATTTTATCAAAGCTTGAGTTGGACTTAATTCTCTTTTAAGCATCTATCTGTATCTGCTCTGAAGAATGTTCCTTGGATAAATTCCATGCCAGGTCTTTGTCTGGAAACCCAGCTGGATGATTTGATTATGAATTGTAGATTTAAAAAGGCTAGGAAAAGGCCACAGTCATTTAATGTATTTATTTATTGTTAATTTTTTATCCTGTCTTTATTACTTTATGAGTAATTCAAGACAACAAACATACATAACTCTCCTTCCTCCTTTTGTTTTCCCCACAACAAAAACAGCCCTTTGAGGTAGGTTATGTGGTACATTTCTAAGATGCCTGTCTTAGAGTAGAGATTAACAAAGGATTTCAAGTAAGAACTTTAAGCCACAGGGATAGATGTAAATACTTTACTGTTCCTGAACTAATGAGTGGCAGCAAAAGCACCGTGGCATATTGTTGATAATTAGTTTATTCTGATAATTTTATATTTAGGTCAGGAATATGACATATAGGAACCATACATGAATGAAACGAGAGCAGCATTATTTATTTATTTGTTTGTTTATTTGTTCATTGAATGCATTTAGATACCACTGCAACTCTCAGTGTCTTACATAGAAAAAAATAGCTTAAAATAAATCCAATACAAAAGAGAAAAACATGTCAGCAATACAACAAGACAGAGGAAGAAAATAATAATAAAAAAAGATGGCCATGTCAAAATCAAAAGTATTTCTCCATATAGGAAAGACAGTAGAAAATAGGAACTATATAGAACTAAATTTGGGAAGAAGATGTGTGGGAATTGTTAAATTCATTACTGACTTTGTAATTTGTTTTACTACAATTTCTTCATTTCCTGTTACTGTGATGTGGTCAGTTGGGAAAGCAGGAAATTGTGTTACCATGTAAGAAAGTAGCGACTGAATGGGATCTAAAGGCCAGTTAGGGCATCTGACAAATAACAATCTGGGTACTGAACTGAATCTGCCAATTTTCCAGTGACATTTAAGAATGATGGATGCCTGAAGGGAAGAATCCTCCCATTAATGAAACAGTCCTGTCTTTCCTGTATTCTGAGAATTTAGGGTGAGAAATCTGAAATCATATCCATTTTGGAAAAAAGACAATGGAAGTGCATTTTTACTAGCTTGCCTTGATCTGAAATTTTCTCTGCAAAAGATGTGGTGTGCGGAGTGGAATTCAAGGTTAAACAGGATGACATTGTGATATGCCAGGGAGAAGAAATGGATTCCTAAAACATAAATGAAAGTGAAGTGTCCCAGCTGTGATATAGCTACAATTTATGTGGAAACCATAGCATCTCAGAATATGTAAACCATTGGAAAAATACAATAATTTTCATAGCCTTTATTTGAAAGCAACCAAATTTGAATTTCTCAGATTTGGATATTTTGCATTTCCTGTCATTGTAGTGCCTGGAATTTTCATTCAATTATACATTGTCATATGGAATCCATTGTCTAGCTCTTGGAAGATAAGCTGCTGCCAGCAATAATTAGTATTCCCCATGCAGAATCCAAGTTCTCCCTTGCAATATTCCACTTTCTATTGTACCAAGGAACCTCTTTGTTGCTTATTATATAAATTGGATTAGAGTATTAATCTATTTTATTACCTTGAGCAAATCCCAAAGTTCACGTCCTAACAGGCCGTTGTACTTTAGGGATCTAGGCTTTTATTTGCCTGAGTTTGTGGTGGTTAATCATTATGGGAATGCTGGTATCTTCCCAGCCTCCTTCCTGCAGAGCTTCTGGGAATAGGCTTGGAGGTTGGGTGTGGGGATGGCTGCTGACTAAGCTCTTTTCTCTTAAGAAAACATATTCATGTTCCCACTCAGCCAAAATCAGGAAAAAGGGCAAGGGATGGGATCATGTGGGTAACCAACAGCATTGCTTATGAGTTCTTTTAAGATCTCCCCTGTCAGCAACCTTTCGAATGGGGATGGGCTTAGAATGACTGATCTTCTGTATTACTACTGGCAGTGGGCTCCATTATTGCAAGCCTCTTTAGAGATATGAGGACCAGGAAAAATAAGAAAACAAAGGAGACTTTGATTATTTTCTCAATGCTCTGAAAGGAGGGTGGGTTGGGGGCCCTCATGAATTTTTTTCCCTCTGATTTTTTTCTCTCTCCAGAGCCTTCATACTTTTGTTGTTTAATTACACATGACATGGCTTTCCTCATTCTATGATTCAATGTTTCTTCCATTGAACGGAGATGTGAAATACACACTATACCAGTGATGGCGAACCTTTTAGAGACCAAGTGCCCAAAAGCTGGGGCCCCCCGCTCCACCCCCTTGCCCTGCCCCCGTTCTGCCCCCACCCCGCCTGCTCACAGGGCCACTCACCGCTTCCAAGGCCTGCTGCAGATTGCCCAGGCAGCCCAGCAACGCCATGGTGGCCACACCCTCTGCCAGCGCCCCGCAGCATCAACTGTGCGCGATGGGGTGTGAGGGCACAGTCTTGTCTACTCCGCCTGGCTGTCATGTTCTTGGCTGTGCTGCTCTGCGTGGGCCACGCTCGGGGGCGACTCTCCTCCAGGGGGGCTGCTGGTGAGGGGGTTATGGGGGAGGCGAGGCTGGGGCAATGGCACGTGTACCCACAGAGGGCTCCGAGTGCCACCTCTGGCATGCGTGCCATAGGTTCGCCACCACTGCACTATACTTTAAAAAGCTGCTGATTCTATAGTAGCTCAGGATAATGTCATGAGCGTTGACATTATTCTGAGTTACTTTGACTGAGCAATGGCAATTAAAAATAAAGTCTACACGCAAAGCAAAAACATTGCAAGTGCAGTTGCCATACAGAGTCACAATTCCATGTATTTCTTGGTGCTGCAGATTTGAATGGAAGAAGAGTTTCTCATTCTTGATACATCCCATCTTGTGCTGGCCAGTGTGTTGTGCTGGCTAGAGTTTTAGGTAAGACATGTCAGCTTAAAAAACTGTAAAGCTCTCTTAGTAATTAGGACTACCAAGATTCATCAGCTTCCCAGACCAAGTTGAGTAAGAGGCAGTAATATCTTTTCCTTACTAGTTTGGGAAAGTACATTTAAGATTCCTGTCTTGGAATCTGGCTGTGGAGGGAGAGATGAGATTAGGTGAGGAGGCTTGAGGTAAATAAAGATTTTAGTGGTAAGCACCTCTTAGGAGAGGCAGGTATGTTCTTGCAGGGGAAAATGGTTTGCAACTGGGGGCAAAGTATCCCTTGTGCTGAGGTAAACGTCTACTGCAACTGAGTGACAAGTGAGACATTCTTTATATTTTCCTCCTGCAAAGGTGAGTCATGACGCGAGCAAAATCAGGTTGGCATAGTCCCAAGACTAATCGCCTCTTACAGTAGGCAGTCTCCTGGTTTCTGGCTTCCCATCTTCTGCCTGGTCCGTAGGGACGAAAACAATGCTGGCGTCTTTTCTGTCAGAGTCCAGTGGGCCAGCAGGCAGCTCTTTCCCTCACTTCTGCTGAGTTGCATTGTAGGTTGTGCTCAGAGCCATCGGTTGGAGCAGCTGGACAATCAGGTCCTTGTTTGTTTTAAAACAACGATATGCAGGGAGGATAGAAGAATATGGAGTATTTAGAGTAATAGAAAAATAATTTGTGGCTCAACTCAGTGTGTCTGGGTGACTAATTTTATTTCAGGTGTAAGAAAACAAAAGCAGAAATATAAAGGAAATGGCTAACTTGGAAGGACTTATTTACCTTAAAAGAAGAATCAAATTTAATAAAATGGTTGCAGTAACTTGGTCATTTAATTTTCCTATGCTTTTAATGGCACTTTAACAGAAAAAGAATAAGATGTTTTAAACTCTTAAGTTTCAGCAGCAAAATTAATTCATTAGATGTTACTGCACTGCAGGCTCTTCAAATGCAACTTGTAAAAGTGTGTTTTCTTCAGCAGTCAGTTACTTGCATGCAAACTGCAATATTGTACTCACCTCATTAATAGTATCAGGATTAATTTTCAAAACGTGTCAGTGCTGGCAAACCACATCTCATAGGTGAAGCGTGAACCTTACGGCTCCACGGAACTCCAATTGCAAAATTGTCACTTTCCAGCAGCCTATCCCCCATTCTCTTTTAAAAATAAAAATAAGGGGCCAATGAATCAATCCTCCAGAAGTAAAGGTGCAGACCCTTTCTGCTCTTGTTTCATGTAGTTGCTGTGATATGAATTAGATCCTAACCTGCAGGGAAGCTTCTTGATTGCATGTGTGTTTGGGAGTTTGGGGTAGTTATTATAAGTGCTTTTGGAATATTGCTTTCTCCTTTTTTATATGTAAAGAGGAAGAGATTAGAAGATAGGAAACCATGCAAAATGGGTGTGTGCAACTTTTGTCCTGGTCGATGTGGTAGAGTGGTGAAAAGGTAACTGCCTGGGTGGAGCCCCAGTTCTCAGAAAGCGATATCAAAACTGTTGGTTGCTTATTATTTCAGCTGAAAGTATAGCATCTGTATTAAAGTATATCTGCTGTGATCATGATACGTTTTAAAGATGCAGTGAAGGTTGGCTTGTTTATCCAAAAAAACCCCTGTATCTTATTTTTCTATTTACCAGAATGACCATTAGAATTAGAAATGCAAAGGTACATTTGTTTCTGATTCTATAATGGCTTCTATCATAATGCGGCATTAAAGAGTTTTCTTTAAAATATTAATATATATTTTTCCAGTGGGAAAATGTTCTCAGAATGTGAGTTGTATTGTTGTATTGTTTGTGTTGTGAATTGCACAAGTAAAATACAGTGTTAGAAATATTGTTTGGACATTCCTGCTCTCTGCTTCAGGTTGGAGCAGCTTGACATGTAAGTGTTGCTGGGGAGTTGATTGATTAAGAGCTGTTCACTTTTAAAATAAATGAACTTAATTTTATCTATGCATGTGGAAGCCACACTGTATAATTTCTGAAGGGAAGTCTTTTTTCCTTCCCGCCCAGATCCCAAAATCATTTTTCAGATATAATTACCATTAGCCCTTTATGACTTTTTATTGATGTTGATATCATTATAAAAAAATTAAGCAAAGCATTTTGGGGGTAATCACAGTGTAGCCTATATTTGATAGTTTTTATTTAGTCATTGTACTCTGCAGGAGTTCCAGTTGGTGTTGTTTTCCCCTGCCCGTTTATCGTAATAACATAAAAGGAGCTGTTTTATAGTTTCTTATTAAGAATAGCTAAAACAGCTTCAATTCTAACTTGTTTTGCAGTAATTATTTATTTTCAAATATGGTAAGTATAATATTGGGGCCTGGATCATTAGTTAGACTTGCGACAGCTGGAATGTAGTAATGGAAATGAAAACATGGTCTGCACCATGTGGAGATTGCATTGTGCAAGCTGAAAGAGGCTAATTCTCGTATGAATTGTATGATAATCTCTGGCGGGAAGTGTCCCTATTTCCTGGTTGCTCACTTTAATGATTTACACTGCTGGTAAATCTAACAAAATGTTCAGTATGCTTTGTTACCGTGCCTTTGCATAACAAACAATTGTTTGGAGCACCTAACAACTATCCTGGTCACTTCCTCTGTCTGCCATATTTCCTTTCTATGTTTCCTTGCAGGTCTCTGGTTGTACCTCGCAGGAAGCAGCCTGCCCTGCTTAACTTTGATTGGTTCTCCTAATTTTGGGTACAGGTCAGTTCATCGTGACCTGGAAGCACAGATTGCAATAGTGACAGAAAACAAAGCCCTACAGCAGCAGTTCCATCAGGTTTGTAGCACATGGACTCTGTTTTTTGAGCACTGGCCCTCCTTCATAGGGCTGAGGGTTTGGGTGTGACAAGAGGGTTTTAAAAATAAATAAATAAATCAGCAATTGAAATCGACAAAAGGCTGTTTTCATGACCTTTCACTAAAGATCCACTACCTTAAATAGTTGAATGCTGGAAGAATTCTGAATAAGAAACTGACCCAGGAATTTGAAGAGAGCATGAGAAAAATGTGAAAGTACAATTATTCTGGTCGTAAATTAATTCAGCTGTCTTTTTCTGATGCGGTTCTCCCATCTGAGGGTGGTTGCAGGGAAATGTAGCAACGCTTCGCTCCCCAAGCAAAATCTCTAAAAGCTGTTTCCAGTAGCTCCCGTGTTTAGATAACTCATAAGCCTAGTTAATTCTAATACGAGATAAAATTCCTGTCTCTTCCTGGCTTTCTTCCCACATATCAGAGTGGGCTGTAATCTTTCTTCTACAACAAGTAAATATTTTGTGCATTACCCTTGTAAATTGTTTAATCTAGACTTGTTTAATAAAATGATAATTGTTCTGGGCTCATAGTATTAATCTTTTGCATATTGCAAATACACTTCAAACCGATCTGAATGTCCCCTGGAGAACCAGAACTATAAAAGTATTCAATATTCAGTCAGTTAAGATTTCCCTAGTTTCTTTGCAGCAAAACCACAGAAATAATGCACACTGAGGCTGTATATTTTGTTGTATTAGTCTGCAACTTCAGTTCAGAACTGAACCTCCCCCTGACCCATTTTATTTACTTATATCAGATGTTTCAAGGAAACTTCTTTTGATCATTTGATCTGGTTTTGTGGAAGCAGTGCAAATAATGCATCTTTTGCTACACTTTTGATATGTGTAAAATGTAAGGGAAAAAACAGCCTTTCTGTATGCCTCCCCTATTTCTGTGGCATCTGGGGAGGGGTGGGTGGGAAGGAAGATATCCTTTTACTTTGTACAACACTTCAGAAATATAGGAAGTGGCAGGAATTGCTCTTTGGGAAGAGGGAAAGGGAAACTGGTGTAGTTCATGCCACCACATACCACAATTTTTGTAATCTTCTGTGACACAAAAAAAGACTTTGCCGTTTGCATAATTGTAACTCCTTTTGTTAGTGGATGGACTTGATCCTCCTTTATTTTTACCTTATTTTGTTTCATTTTTGATGCCTTGTTCCATAGGTTAGAACAGTGAGAGGGGTGTTTCAGAAGCCTGAGACAAACTGGAGGAATTAAAGCACACAAAATGCTGTCATTTCTTGTGCTGTAAAAAACAGTCTTTGACTTGCTTATTGTTTGTTCAGGTTTAACAATAATTGTTCAGTAACCATTCAGACTTATAATGGTGCTGAATGAGTAAACTTATGACCGGTCTTGTAATCATGGCCATTGCAGCATAACAGAATAATAGAGTTGGAAGGGATCTTGGAGATCATCTAGTCCAACCCCCTGCTCAGGCAGGAAACCCTATACCATTTCAGACAAATGGCCGTCCAGTCTCTTCTTAGAAACTTCCAGTGTTGGAGCATTCACCACTTCTGGAGGCAGGTTGTTCCACTGGTTAATTGTTCTAACTGTCAGGAAGTTTCTCCTTAGTTCTAGGTTGCTTCTCTCCTTGATTAGTTTCCACCCATTGCTCCTTGTCCTGCCTTCAAGCGCTTTGGAGAATAGCTTGACTCCCTCTTCTTTGTGGCAACCCCTGAGATACTGGAACACTGCTATCATGTCCCCCTTCATCCTTCTCTTCATTAAACTAGACATACCCAATTCCAGCAACCGTTCTTCATGGGGTTTAGCCTCCTTGTAGCATCCCTATAGTCACATGATAATGATTGAGGCATTTGGCAACTGGTTCACATTACAATGGTAATAGCAGCCCACGATCATAGAATTGACATTTGTGTCTTTCACTGCTGGCTTCTGACAAGCAAATTCAGTGAGGTTGTAAATGATGATCACATAACGTTGTACCTAACAACCATGCAGGGTTCACCTAACAATGGCAGCCAGGGCTTCTCAACTGCCTTCCTAAGTTGGCACAGTCACACGACATTGCACTTTATGAGAGGAAGTTGCAATTCCCATGTTCTCTAGTTAAGCAAGCATTACCTGTATTTTTTCTAGATAGCTTTAAGGGAAGCTGTACTTGTCATTTTTTTTATTTCTCATATTCTATAACTAATTTAGTTAACTTTTCTGAATTTCTTTTGAAAGTAAAAGTCTAAGCCTGTGGTCATTCCGATGGATCAAACAGAAGTGCTGAAATGAATATTTACTTAAAGCTTTTGAAAGAGTTCTATTTCCTATACGGTCATTCCTCAGTCTTTTTTGTATGCTGTATAGATGATGACCCTCGGAATGGAGCATGTCACCCGGGGCAGCACATTCTGTGAAGCCGGCCTTTCTGTGTGTAATGGTTTTCTCACTCAGCAGAGCTTCAATTAATCACCCTTAGGATTTTTCTAACTGCATTCTTTTGAGCTACAATTATGATGTAAAATAGGAAGCAGTATTGTGGAGTGTTCAAGTGTTAAATGGGATCCGTTTATTTTTTTCTAAAATTGGTCTTATTAAACCCCAAAGGGATCTAGATTGCAGGAATAAAGGAAGAAAAAAGAGAATAGCAATGCCATTTGCATAGGCTAAGCGATGTGGGCTACGTAGGCTTAGCTGGAGTTAAACATGTCATTTTAAGAATTGAGAATAGAAATGTGGACCTTGGTGGAAGGTGGGCAGGAGTCCCACAATATCATAGCTCTTTATGTATAGTCTGTTTTATTAATTTAGATGAAATCTTTATGCGTTATAAACACCGTTTTCAAATATGTGTATGCTTTTGTAATAGAAGCATTCATTTTTCCTTCCAGCTGTACTGTTTGTACTTTAAAGAGCTTAACATTTCTGGGAACCACATTGAAACCTTGATGGCACATTAGTTTTTGAAAGGAGCCTTGGATTTTTTTTCTGAAGAGAAATGAGCAGCCCAGTCTCTGGAGATTAAAGCTGGGTTTCCTTTTTGGACAATTATAGCTCAGGGCTTGGCTGTGTTACGGGAAAAAGAATAACCGTAGGGCCAGTCTTGCAATGCTTTCCTCCTTGTATGTTTGTATACATATGTGGGTTGGGTTCTGTGTTTGCAATTACTTGGGGTTTGGCTCAGTTAGCATCTGAGATGCCAAACTCTGCAAAGTTTTGGCAAACCGAAGTGTCAAATTTGTGATCACATTTTAGGAGAATAATGTGCTGGGATGAAATACCAGAACTCTAATCACACTGATTTTGATTCAAAATAGTTAAGCTAGACAAGGATGGTAGTCGACCCTAGCAAGATTTGTTGGTTCTTGAATAGCAGTGGTGGGCTAAAGTTCAGGAGGTTGTGATTAGAGCAAATGTTGAAATTCAAGTTGTAACTTTCTTGCTCTAGGAGCAGGAGCAACTTTACTCTCGTTCTAGTACAGTGTCTTCCTCAACATTTGATCAGCCAAGTCGCTCTGTCAAGCTATGGGTGAAGATGTTGACGCCTCTGATTAAGAACTTCTTCTGAAATAAAGGGAGGCAGGTCTTCTTGGTGAGTATCATATGTGGCTTTTTATAGCTTCCTCTTATTGGGAAGCACTTCAATTAACAGGAAATGCGTAGATACTGATTTCATTTTAGTGTACTTTTACAATGTGTAATCTTCCTAAACATTATACAGTCTCGAGTTCTTGGTGTCAACTCTCACAATCATAGGTCAGATTCTTCTGGGAAATGTTTAAAAGCTGTATGTGAAATAACTGGATCTGTCTTTAAATTCACTTGTGGAACTATTTTGGATTTTAAGAATTTTGAGTCTGTAAGGGTACAAAATACATAAAAATTGTGTAAGTTGCGAATGTGCCTTTAAATCACTGCTCCTTTGAGTAAAAAAAAATATGCATGTTAAGAAAAGGTACAAATATATTTCTGTATATTTTTGTCTTATTTGAACAAAAACAAGCCTTTTAAATGGAGAGTTCTCTTTCAAAGAGTAAGGTAGCAACTCAGCTTTGTTGAAGTAATAATATTAGGTTCTTGTTACCTACTTCTCATAAGCAGAAATATGCTGGAACAGTGAGGCATATTTTAACCAATTATCTCAGAGCAAAATAGAGAACTACATTTTGCCTTCTACTCTGCTGTGTATTTAACTTGAACACTGTATAAATAATTTCCTTTCACTTATGTTCTTTTGGTGCACAATAATGTATTTTAATGTATCAGCTATCATTTTTCTGTCATAAATATATATGTTATGGGAGTGAATAAAGAATTTTGTATTGATTTTTATTGTTTCCGCAGTGAGAAAATTGTCCCCGGAAATTCAACTTTAAAATAAGGATTCATGAAAGTACAGAAAAGCATAAAATTCTGTATTGTTGAGGGTAAATAGACATACAGTAGACTTATCCAAGAATGAATCTACTGGGTAGGGGCACCCAAGAGTCAGCCTTCTTTCAATAGAAGGATGCCTGGAGGACTTAAATTTTGGGAGGAGACATTGCTCGAAAAGGCTTCTCAACTAATGGTGAGCCTTAGGGCCTATTACTCATTTGTGAAACTGAGTATACTTAAGAATTCCACAAGTTGGTTTCAACCCAAAATGGAAATAGATTTAATTGCTGGGCCTGTTCCTTTTCATATGGCTAGAAATTAGTCATTAAAAGAACCTGAACTTTTCCCTTTAGGAAGAGAAAAAGGCTGTCCATAATCTGCTTCATAGAAAAAGAAAGCTCAGAAGATTATATGGATCTTCAGTTTAGTAATTAATATTACAAGATTTGTGATCAATTAATGCTACATAAATTTATGTTCTCAGATAATCCAAATGCTACTTTAGCTATTTGAGATTTTTATTTTGGGTTTGAGAACCGTGGGGACATATAAAAGGAAACGAATACCTGTTTCTTAGATACTAGAAGTCTTAGACAACATTTACATTGGGCGTTTGAGGTTTTTTTTTTAATATTGTTAAATATTTTTACATGTGTATTTTCTCATTTATAAGAAGGCTATTTTTAACAAAAGAGATGCTCTTAGATAGTTAAATACTGCACTCATCATCTGTTGTGTGCTTCTTTAGAACAGTACAGAATAGCCAGAGGTAGCACAAATCTAATTCTGTTGTACCTTTGAATAGATGTAGGTTGTAAGATATCAGAAAAATTCTGGTAGCCCCCAGTTTGTTAGTTGGAAAAAGTGCTACCTCGTTCCTTCTGATATTTTGGTACCATAGACTCATAGACTTCTTCTGTAGCATTAAGAAGTAAGAAACACTAGATTCCAAGAAAGTAATTTTTAGATTTTAAGTATAAGTAATTTTAATATACTAATCTATTAGCCATATTAAATAATTTCCCTCCAGTGTATGTAAATAGTGCAAGGGAGGGAAATCTGCAGTTCTCCGGATATTCTTGAACCCTGTCTTCTCTCAGCTCAGCCAGCATAGCTACTCAGAAATAATGTGACTTGAACTATAACAATAGCTGGTGGAATGCAGTTTTCAGCTTGTGGCTACAAGTTTCTTTAGAAAGCAAAATAATGTAGTAAAATTATTATACTTGGAGTGGGGCAACAGAGGGAATAAGTTGGCTGGAAAATGATGCCAAAAAAAGAGGAGCCAACAAAGGAGAGTCTGGACATTGTCATTAGAACATCTCAAGACTAAAGAGAAAATTATTCCTAGTACTTGGTATTGATAAGCCCTTCATCCAAAAACTAAGGAGGAAAAATTTCTTGATGTGATTGTAATTCAATGCTCTAGGGCAGGGGTAGGCAACCTTGGCTCGTTTATGACTTGTGGACTTCAACTCCCAGAATTCCTCATTGCTGGCCCAGGAATTCTGGGAGTTGAAGTCCACGAGTCATAAAAGAGCCAAGGTTGCCTACCCCTGCTCTAGGGGGTTGCATTGAAGCACCAAGTTAGTCCAGATTTTGAGGAGAGAATTCATGGTTTTGGTCTTAAATGTCATTAGCAAGATTGAATTGGCAGTTGGGGAAAGAGAGTATAGTGGTTGTACCCTTTTCAGTTTCTCTCTGAAGTGCTATTTGTTTTGTTTCCCTTTCTATAAGCAAAATTCACACAGTTTCCTTTTTTGTAACTCAGAGGAACTAAAGAACCTCCTGTGCTGCTGATTTAAGATTGCATCTTGATGTATTTGAAATATGTTCTGGTCAACCAAGTTCCTCTGTTGTTTGATTCCAACCATGGTAGATTTAAAAAATAATAATAGTATCTACTTTGTGAACAGAGTGGATCGTTATTTCCCTTGCTTTGGCTTTTGATACTAAGAGCAAAACAGAAGAAGAAAAGACTGTAACTAAGTTGCTACAAGGAAAGAAGAATAAATAGATTGCTTTGGGGGGAAATTATGATTTTATTATGCTGTTAATACATACCATTTTAAATGTTGAAGTACATAAGTTTTGCCTGTTAAAAATCTGCTTTGAAAATTGATGCATGCTCTGAATTGCCAAGGAAGCAAGATTTAATTTTCACGCAGTGAACTGCAGAGCTTCTGCTGAGCAGAGTTGTCTGAGTTAATGGCCCTGCATAATTCTTCAGATAATTGTTTTTAATTGCTGAGTGGAAAAAAGATAGAAGGAGCTTACAGGCAGTTCTGCAATAGTCTTGCTCCTTAATAATGTTTGACTGTAATGTCTGAAACTAATTTGTGAATTGCTGAGGAGTGGAAATTCTCTTCTTTTGAATGGGATCATCCACCCTGTTGCATCAGTGTGCTTTCCTTCTCTTCTTGTTAACAGATCCTGAAATACAGTGGTCCTTTACTCTGCCTCGGGAACAAGACTTGCGGTGTTGCTGCCCTCACATCACAGCCACTGCTGTTGTTGTGCTGAAGGCAGTGCTTTCCTCTCTTGGTGTGACAGGATGATGGGGATGAGGCAGAGCATTGTTGCTTTTTTCTCAGCTTTTCTGCAAAAATCTGGTCTTTGCATTTCTCCATGCCCAGTGCTTTTGGGAAGATGAAAGCATGCAAAGAGGTGGTGGAAGTGGTGATAAGAATTAATTAGGAAAGGGCACTTGCCACATGCCAGCCCTCACAAAAACCACAAAAAGGTTTTTTTTCTTATTTTCAATAGAAAGCACAATGTTCTTGTCAGATTGCTTTGCTGTCGCTTTAGTTTGACAGCATTGGGCTGGCACTGAGGTGAAGGCTCTATTGTGAGAACATATATGCAACATGAGATAAGTAAGCCAGTTTGGACCTGGGCACAGAAGTGAAGTGGATGAGCATCACATACACAAAAAGTCTTTGTGTCCCAGGCATAAAGCTTCATGATACCACTTTTAATCAAAGACTACAGTATTACTTTTGTATTTTGATAGTAAACAGCCTTTCAGTAAGATTGTTGTACCTTTTATCAGATGCCTAGATTTGCTGCTAACGTCTGCTCTAAAGAGTGATTTCTAATGCAGTGATGGCGAACCTATGGCACGCGTACCAGAGGTGGCACTCAGAGCCCTCTCTGTGGGCACACCTGCCGCTGCCAGCTCGCGCAGGTCCATTAGGCCCCTGCTGGCGCCCGGAGCGGCAGCCCCACCCCGCACAAAGGAGGCGAAGCAGCTGGCTAGCAAGCTTGAGTAGAGGTGGTAGAGGACGCCCCCATGCGCTCACTGGCCTCGCCTTGCACCGCAGCAATGGCACCCCTGCCCTACCCCCTGGCTCACCCCGCAGAATGAGCCTCCTGCCCACCGCCCCATCCACCAGAGACCCTCTGGATCTCCCCCAATCCTTCTCAGCCCCCACAGGCATCCCCCACCCATGAGCAACATCAAGGTGGCCACGCCCACCCCGGCCACACCCACTCAGTCTGCCGTCACCACCGCAGCCACTCCCACCCAGTGGGCCATGCCCTCCCCTGAGGGCACCACAGTGCTGATGCGGCCCTGACACTTTGCGATAAATAAGTGGGTTTTGGGTTGCAATTTGGGCACTCGGTCTCTAAAAGGTTCGTCATCACTGTTCTAGTGTAAGACTAAAAACAGTTAAGGATATATCTGGGTATTTTGTTCATAATAAACATAATGTGGAGGAATAAATGAGTTCTTTGCTAATCAAATAAGCATAATGTTGCTTATTAATATCTGTAATCAGATTCCTAAAACTTCAGGAACGCTGTATTAACACTCTAGGAATCTCTAAGTGTCTATCTTGTTGCAGTGAGTTAGTCAGGAACACCCAAGAATTAGAGGGGGGTGGGTGGGTGTATTAAGCGTTAGGTTGGTCAAGTTGTTTTGACTGACAGCTGTCCCTCTTTCTGGTGAATGGACAAAGCAAGTAGACAGGAGAAATGCATTCATTGTACAAATAGTATAATTTCCCTGGATAAGTGTAAGTTTGTTTATTTACATTTTTTGGACACCATAATAGAGTCTTTTTTGAATGGAAATGTGATAATGACCTGACAAGCATTGTGTATTTTTTAGGAATGCTGGCTGTGCAATTTCAAACATGCCAGAGCTGTTTCATTACAAGAATGTTTGGACACTAGGCAGGAGACACCAGGGAGAAGAGCCAGACAATGATCCAAGTTAGATCTGGTAGTGAGCCAATATTGCAGGAAGCAGAAGTGGAAAGATTGGGCTGGATGGGCATGACCTAACAGATAGCTTCAGAAATAATCTAGTAGGTTAATAAAGGCAATCCAAGATGACAAAGCAGGAACAGGTCTTAGTGTTTATACAGAGAAATGTTGATCATTAGGATAAACAGGTGCTGGGTGAGAGGTTCAAAGTGATTTAGATTCCATTTGTACCTTGTGTTCAGAGTTTTGAGCAGTATATTTCACTATTAGATTGACCAGGTTTTAGTTCCTGAAATGAGTTTTGCGACTAGCTACCCTTGAAAATGCAAGTAACATTTCCCCCAAGTTCCATATATGGCCAGGAAGGTGAAGATGTCTAGGCTAAGCCATAAGCTGTAAGTGAGAGCTATTGCACAGTCTTGTTTTTCTTTCTTTCTGTATGCTCTTGCAGAACTGCAACTCGACCAGACAAGCTTTCTGTTACGGAGAATAATTAAATATAGGAACAGCGTTGTTAATGATCACTTGAGTAGGAACATCAGGCCAGATGTACTTTAAAATAATTTTTATTTTGAAACAATTACCTTGCTTGGGGTTTCTAGGAAGGGATAAAAGTGCCATGTTGGAGTGGACAAAACTCTTGCCAGACATTAAATTTGTAAGAGTAAAGCAACTCCAGCAAGAATCCACTTAGCTGGCTTCTCTTTTGTTTTCAGGTTAAAAGTCCAGACGTAGGTGGGGCCTCTTGTGCGTGTCTTGTACACAGGACACTCATACATGTTCTTGATATCCATGCGATCCACAGGGATGGCCTTGATGAAAATGACTGGCATCGAAGGCGTCAGCTCCTTCAGGCGTGCATCGCTGATGACCCCGGTCTGAGTATCCCAGCGTGCACCTGCAACAATATGGGACAGTACTCTCAAGATCAGTTGTTTTGCAGCAAGGCTAAGGAAGGAGAATCTGCACGATTATCAACCTGCTAACTTTTGCAATAAGGCTACAAGACTTTGGCTTGCACATGCTTTTGATGCTACACTTATATACTTTACAGGACTATAAACAATTGGATTCATATCTTGCACTTGGCATATAGCAGCTATTCTTTTATTACAGAAAGTTGTGCACTCCTACAAGTTCTTTTAACATAAAGTCCATTTATACACAGGCTCGTTTAGCTCAACTTTAAAAAAAAATGTATCTTAGATGCAACATCCCCAAAGTAGAAAGCTGTCCTCTTGCTTTTTACTACAGCTGGGTGTGATAATGAAATGGACATCTGCTGCCCTCTACTGATATGAAATAAAACAGGCAGCTATCCAAACATCTTGTTTATCTTTTTGGTCGGTGGTGATGGTGGGTGTCAAATATTTATTTATCAGAATGAATTTGGAGAATTAATTATGTTTCTGCTATGGGTGCAAATAATATTGCTTAGTGATTGATTTCTAGCATAATTTCTGTCAAATAGTATGAAAGTTGGACACTGAAAAAAAATGAGAGAAATAGAAATATAATTGTCTTTGAATTATAAATCTGGAGATGATGAATAAGGGTACCACAGACTGCAATAATCATTCAATAAAACCCGGACCAAATTAAAACTGACTGTTCTTTTGCAGCAATGATCAACAACCGAAGCAAATAGGTGATGGGCTAGGTTTTTTCCTATGTTGTAGATAGATGGATCAAAAAAATGACAGGACTGTCCTTGGAATAGCTATGAGATGCACTACGGGTCAGGCTGAGGTAATGAATATTCATCCATGCAGTGACCAGGTGTCAGGACTTAAACTACCAAAGAGGAAATTTAATTTCCAAGTTACTCAAAGCTATTGCGTTCCTGATATACTACTGGCCTGCAACCCTCAGTGTTCCCATGGTAATTATAGAAGCTGTCATTGAGCAGTAGTTGAAGAATCCTACCCTGTTCTTTAATTTTGGAGAATGTGAAATGGGCACCTGTATTCTTTTATTGTTATTCATTACAGAATTGTATAACAGATGCAACATTGTAGAAGAAGCCTGAAAACAACATTCTGAAAATAAATCTCTTTCTCAGTAATTTACCTATTTAGTTCAAAGTAAAATATGAAAATAGAAGAACCAAGTTCTGTTTCCAAAATTATTTTCTTTCTCTTTCTCCTGTCCGTTCAGCAAATTGCTGTGGAAGAAAATACCAATGGCTGCCTGTAAGCTGCACTTATGCTTGAGAAGATTTTTGAAGTTAAACTAAGGGTCACATGAAACAAAGTCCATATCTTATCTACATTACTATACAAATGGTTTGTACCTTCCATGAAGAGTCCATGAACATAGGAGCCTTCTCGAGGTGGAGCTGTCATATCTTCTCTGTTTTTCTTGGTAACTTCCACTGAGAGACACATTCTGTCAAGAGGCCATTCATTCTTCCTAGCCATGGACTGCATAATGGCAGTCAGAAAAGACTGAGGATTGAAGAAACCTGCTAGCCACACAGTTGTAGGCAGGGCAAAATCTGTGGTCCAAGCCTCCAGCTCCTGGAAATGAAAACAGTGATAGTGTTTTATAGATAAGCATATTAAGGACTGCACATTCTTTATATTCCAGCTTTATTTCTCCCTGTGCATTCCTTAAAAATACAGCTTGAATGGGAAGATCTATTAAATAAAATTTGCTGAACAAATTGGAATAAACACTTTGAGATTTGTGTGATAGCAAAAATCCAGATGAAGAGAGCTGTCTTTTTGTTCAACTGTCCACAATAAAAGCTGTGTAAGAATGCTATACAGCCAAGAACTTCAAAGAGAAGCAACAGATTATGTTAACAAAATAGAAAAAGAGTATCTTTTTATGCAGCCAACCAGTACACAACCGCCAAAACTCATGAAAAGATTAATTCTCCCATGCATCAAAAAATATTTAAAAATCGAAAGGGATTTACTTCATTTGCTAGGCATCAGAGAAATTAAAAAAAAACTCCAACAAAATCTCTCCAAAACATTTGAAGCACAACCCCAAAGACGCAATGAATGAAGAAGACAGAACAGACAGAATTATTTGCAAGATATAGTGCAATGACTCTGAATGCCTCCATGTAGAAAAAAACAATCAGATTATCAGAACACATCTTTAAACTAGTTCTTACAAGACACAATGATGATTCTTTAATTTCACAGCACATAGACAAATGCAACCATAAATCCACCTGGGAAACTGTTTTAGATCAATGCAAGAGAATTTGTAAAAGCCTAGCATTCTGATTGATCAGCCATTAACAAACACATAAAATCCCAGTGTATAAACTATTTTAAAACAGCAGTGAACCAACAAAGAAGCAAGCAGACTGAGGCACATCCTTATATCCCAGTGGTTCTCAACCTTTTTAATGCCGCGACCCCCAACTGGTCGTAAGTCGAGGACTACTCAACTGGTGCAGCACCGTTTGCAGAATGGGACTTTTGGCGGGCTCAGAAGGCAGAGACAGCCTGGACAATTCCTATTGGTTTTTGAAAGCCAATAGAATTAGACTCTATTCAAGAGAGTCTATTCTATTGGCTTTCAAAAGCCAATAGAATAAAAGGGAGTAGCACAGCTAAGGAAAAGGGGGGGGGGGGGAAATGGCGGACTGCGTTGTTTGGCGACCCCTGTGAAATGGTCGTTCGACCCCAAATGGGGTCCCGACCCACAGGTTGAGAACCACTGTTATATCCAGAAATTAAATAGGTTAAGTGAGAACACAATAGGTAGGAGCAATTTTCAGTGAAACAATAGAGCCAATCAAACTAGGAAAACAAATGGGAAACAGGCAGACAATCTACAACATTCCTGATCAAGACAGGTAGGACAAGCTGCTACTCATAAAAAGCCAGCAAACCGGTCTCCCTTCTATCAGAGAACTGACAATATTACCTAGTATAGTACAGAAAGGTTTGCCAGAAGAAAACAAAGCTCAGCAAACAAGATCCCAATAGGAGAACAATACTTAAGGGCAGGTTTTCAGCTTTGTGGAAAAATCAGCCTTAAGAATTTACAGCAAATTTCACATCGAAGTACTTAAACAGCCTCATGGTCCTCACCCTGATCCGGAGCAGTAGATCTGCATACCAGGCTGCTAAACTAAGTAAAGATGGGTAAGCACGATTTGTCCAGGATTCGGGTACATTGTCATAAAAAAGAGCATTGGATAATTCCTCCATGTCTGTTGTTATTGTCAACTCGCCCTTTGGGAAAAGTAAAAGTTTTAAATTGGTAGTTGCCATTATCAGAATATCCTGCCTGAACATATTGTCTACTTGAATAATTTTCAGTGTAACTAAGGAAATGGCATCCCACTTGGTCTTGATTCTCTGTTAACTAAGGTCCTCTCAGTATTATATTATCCAATAAGCAAATTCTTACAAGAACGTTTAGCATTTCCCCCTCAAGTTAATTATGGTACTGTGCGGCAGTTTAAATTTCCCAACACACTACTGAGAAAATAAGATTATTTTCCCAGTTACTGTTATAATTGCCAGGGCTGAAATTAGATGATGACTGTAATATGAATCTAAAGTATATGCATAGCATACACAAACATGGTTTTCAACACTAAAAATCAATTTGTGAATGCTTGTGCTATAGCGTTTCAAAGGAGAAGCAATACCCACGTTTTTGAGCAACTTTAGCTTTTAGCTCCCAACTAAACATTTAAAAGGAATCTTTTTCTTTTTACTAATCTTTATTAGTACAATAAAGCACACATGCTTAAAACATTAAAATATCCATGCCCTCTGGAAAGCTCATACAGCTGTTTTGAAGACTTGTGCTGGCAATTCCCGGAGAAGAGTTGTTTGTTCCTGTACAGATTCATGCCAACAAACAGAGACAGCTTTTAAAGCAGCCATGTGAACCTTCCAGAAGATGCAGCTGCATTAATGCACAATGAAATATTTACACAGCACCATTAAATTACTGCACTAAGCCTCCTGAAGACATATTCTACATAATGTTTAAACACCCACCCACTCACACCCACAACCTTAAACTACCTTAGTTTTCAGCCCAATGTCTGCTAATATCCCTCATAATTAGGCATGTTCTCCAACAGCTTGGAGACCAAAATACTTTAAAGCCCAGACAATACATTTTCAATAAATATACTGAAGGTAAGCAATTACTAGTACATGAAATTATATTGGCCACACTTTGGACCTGTCTCCCTCAATTTTCACATATGTAAATACACAAACTTGTGCTCACTACATAATTACACAAAAGGAAAACTATTCTGAATTTAAAATTATTCACCCAAAAGGAAACAGTAGATTTAGTATGTACAAATTAAATTCAGTGCGTCCCTGGTTTATCAACTAAAGTTGACCACCTCAGCTGATTTCTCGCCCTCTGTGTGTGTGAGTGGCAGTCTTGTTTTGCATATGAGCATGCAATCCCAAGAGCAGAACAAGGACCCCCCAAAATTAATTGATGATTGGTTAAATTTGCCTAATACAGAATCCCATCTGCACAGATAACTTGTCAGTATACATAGAGTCTCCCTATGAGAACAGCAAAAAAGAGATGAGGGGGGAAAACGGGAGGCAGATGGGATGAATGGAAAGTGAATGCAAGGGAAAGAGCTGGGGTGGGGGGTAGGGATAAACCAATGAGGTGAGGATAAAGGTAATTTGCTAGAGAAGAAAACCAAAAGCCATTTTGATGTTACAAAAAGGATTAAATTCAGCAGAAGGGCATTTTTGTTTACCAACTGAATCTTGTTGATCTGATATGTTATCAAGAAATAATTTTCCATTCATCTTTTTTCTGTATCAGTACACCAGTTGAATAGCTGGAGATGGCACCAGCAAGAGTATGTAATATGCAGTCACCTTCAGTCCCAAGTTCAGTTCTTTCAAAGAGCGTCTGATTTCACTGGTGAGGATGTTCATTCGTTCACATTCCTGGAAAGCAACTACCACATATGGTGTTTTCTCAGCTGCTTTTGCCATAATTTCAATCATGTTGAAGGGCTCTGGAAGACGATCCAGGATCTCATCTAGCACTGTTTTTACCTGACACACAAAAGGCCAAATGTATGTTTTATTGCTTGTAACATTTTGCTGTGAAAGCAAATTAACATGAATGATCAATTCATTTTATTTTATTCCTCATGTCCTTGTGGTCAAAGAAGAGCTAGGCCTAGCCCAGCACAGCCCAAAAAGATGGTAAAGATGTTCCTGTGTGTGATTCTTTGGGCTCCAACCAGGCAGTTTTCTTGACAGCATTTTGGAGGTGGTTAGACACTACTGTCTTGTGGGATTTATTTTTTAATTGTTTAGACAAAAGCCTTGGAAATTCTCAACTAGTCTGCCATCCAAGTACTACCCCAACCCAACCTTATTTAAATCTGAATGAGAGATCGATCAACTTCTTCAAAACAAAACCTGACAGTGGGAGAGGCAGAGCAAATGGGGAAATTAAAAAGGTGAAATAATTTTAAATAAATAAAAACAAAACAAAACAAACTCAAAAGGCAGATTTGACGGACCACTGGGTCCTTTTCTGCCATCAGTCTTCTATGTTTCTATGGGCACATCATGTCTCAGGAAATGACCTGCCTCCTTACCTTTTCTTCACGGGACACACCAGTTCCTCCTCCAGAATCAGATTCTTTGGGTTGCATTTCCAGCACTGTGCGGAAAAGTTTCTCTGAGGTTACAGTGAGGAAACCAATCTCTGCATTCGGATGGAGCCCGTACAGATAAGGACTCTCAGGTGGTAGATTTTCATCAATATACTCATGATAGCCCTGTGAAAATATATATTTTATAGAATATTAGTGGATACACAGCAATGTGTTTGTTCAAGTAGCCGAGGCTGGGCATTCTGATCTTCACCCGATAGCTTCCAATTTACTTTATATCCATTTCTAGGTTTTCTATGGTACCTTAAAACATCTGGTAAGTTGATGTCAGTTCAGTTTTTGTTTCCCCGTAAAATCCTCTTCCAACTACTTACATCAATACAACTTGTGTGAACTAGTCTGCACCCTCATCATTCCTCCATGGGCTATTAGGATATTAGGTAGAACAACTTTCTGAATGGTTA